CTCCCGACCTATAAAGGTGAATCTGATGCCAACAGAGGACATGACCAGGAACCCCAGAAACAAATGGAGCAGGAGTCTGGGGACGTAGCTTTTTCTTGTAGAACCCTCTGGCCAGCTGACCTACACAATTTGAGGCAGGTGGGAGCAAAGGAGCTGGAGAAGCGGAGCCACATGGGAGGTTAGGGATGCTTCTGTGAGACAGAAGCCCAGGAGCCAAGCGCGCTGAGTCTGGCCGAGTCCCAGGAACAGAAGAGTCAACCACATGGAAGCAGGTGAACCTTGTAGCCAGTAGGCAGGGGACAGCGCACGGCAATGCCTTCAGGCTCAAAGGGAAAATGAACCTAAATTTTTACACAACCAAACTGTTAAGCACAAATATAAAAACAGAAGCAAAGGTTCAGTAAATATGTCTGCACGCATTCTGAGAATCATTCTCAGCATCTGTTTTAGTAAAACCAAGAAAACAAAAAGGAAGGCCAAAAGCCAAAAGGGAGTGGGCCTCAGCAGGAACTCAAGAGAAAAGGGATTCCAGGGTCACATCTATGCTGCAGAGCTGTCACCAAAAGCTCTGTCCTTTGTCTCCAAGTCCAATCCAATAATGAGGACGGATGTTGAGAAAAAGGAAAAAAGTTTCATTAGCTTTACTAGCAAAGAAGCACAGGAGACCCCCATCCCAGAGGCTGTGATTCTGCCGGTCAGCAGGAATAGGGGGCTTTTAAAGGGGCGACTCCAAGGGTACACTCGAGGGTTCTCCGTTGGAGTTGTAATTCATTTGTTAACTGGGGAGACTGTCGTATCTGAGATCTGCTGGAGGACTTCACTGGTGTGGTGGGTGTGTGCTCAAGGACAGATGGCTGGGGAAGAAAGGTAATCCTGTTTCCCCTGAGATTAGGGAAGGGGAGAAATTAGGAACAGGGATAGAGGAAGAGGAAGAGATGTTCCATTTAAAAATAAGTCTCAGGCTGGAGCTGGGGAGATGCAGAATGAGACAGACATTATTACCCTGCATGCACATATGACACACTACAGAGGGACTCCACATCACGCACAGCCAGAGCAAGCAGGAGTTGTGCTCCATCTGTGTACAATGTCAAAATGCATTCTACTGTCAAAAAAATTCATTGAACTAGACAAAGAGGAATGAAGGGAAGGGAGAAGGGATAGTAATAGAAAAAAAGGCAGAATAAATTGAACGTATCTTAACTATCCTCATTTATAAATATATGACCAATATAAATCCATATCATGTACAATCACAATAATGTGATACTAATTGGAACAAGTTCTTCTATATATAATATTTCAAAATATACTGTCACTTTTAAAAATTGAAAAAGGAGAACTCAACCAAGGGTACTTTGCATGGAAAATTTAAAGTGCCCCTAAAAACTGATGCAAAAAACCAGCTACTTATTAGAGAAATGTGTAAAAATTTTAACAGGAATTTAGGGAAGAAAAAATTTGTAAGGGTAATAAATGCATGGAAAGTATATGATCTCACACATAATAAGTACATAATCAGAGAAATATAAACTAAAATAACACCACTTTGACACCTATTGAATATAAGCAAAATTTAAGTGTAAAAAAATTCCAGAATGCTGATGAGGATTTGAGCAACAGACATTCTAATGCAATCATCTTGGAGAATAATTTGGAAATATTTAGTAAAGATAAGTTACAGTGTAGCAATTCCACTCTCGGGTATACTCTAAGTCAGTAGTTCTTAAACATTTGGTACCAGAATTCCTTAAAACTTTTAAAATTTATTTGAGAATAACAAACAGCTTTTGTTTTTGTGGGTTTTGTCTATTGATATTTGCCATATTAGAAAACAAAATTGAGAAATTAAAAATACAATGTACTGTCATTTAAAGGTCAATAAAAGATCCTCATTAACGTAAAAAATAACAATCAGTCTTGGGTCTGGCACAGTGGTGCCTGCCTTTAATCCCAGTGGCTCAGGAGGCTGAGGCAGGAGGATGGAGAGTTCAAAGCCAGCCTCAGCAATGGTGAGGTGCTAATGAGCAGCTCAGTGAGACCCTGTCTCTAAATAAAATACAAAATAGGGCTGGGATGGGGCTCAGTGGTTGAGTGCCCCCAAATTCAATCCCTGGTACCCACCACCCCAAATAAATGGCGGGCTGCAGTTGTAGCTCAGCAGTAGAGCACTTGCCTTGCTTGTTAGGCACTGGGTTCAGTCCTCAGCACCACATAAAAATAAAAGTATTGTGTCCATTTACACTTAAAAGAAATGGTTCAAACTAAAACAACAGAAGATTGAAAAAAATTGTCTTAGAGAAAAAAATTGAATTTATGTAAATAGTGTAACAAGAAAATGAATCTTTGTGATAATAGAACAGTCACCTCATCCTCTCCCCTGCCAGTGACCTCATTTATTCCGAAGTCATGGTCTGTACCTGACCTGGTAACAGTGGTCCATTTATGCTTTAAATATAGCCTTGCTGCACTCGAACGCACTCAAACGCGGTGACTTATTTTTAAAATGGACGTGTTTCTTTTTTCTTCTCCCCCTGTTCCTCCCTAATCTCAGAAGAAACAGGATTACCTTTCTTCCCCAAAGGCAGAGTGGTCTGTTCCCGAGCACACACCCACCATGGGAAGGAAGTCATCCAGACTCTGGGGATGGCACCAGCACATCTCAGGAATGTCAGTCTCCCAAATTAACAAGTGATCACAACTCCAACAGAGAACACCCGGAACGCAGCCTTTGAATCGCCCCTTTAAAAGCTCCACCAGGAGCTGGGGATGTGGCTCAAGCAGTAGCTCGCTCGCCTGGCACGCGTGCAGCCCGGGTTCGATCCTCAGCACCACAAAGAAAGATGTTGTGTCCGCCGAAAACTAAAAAATAAATATTAAAATTCTCTCTCTCTCTCTCTTTTTTTTAAAAAAAAAGCTCCGTCAGCCTTCGGGATAGAGTCCCCTGGGTTTCAAAAACTCCCCCTCCTCAAACCCTGGCCTTGTTATTGGATCGGCGGCGTTGGAACCAGGACCAAACTTTCGGCCACACCCTGAGGCTCTCCCATCCCACCTCCTTCAGCTCAGGAAACACCTTCATCTAGTGGAGGCTCCTCCTATTTTTTTTTTTTTTTTTAAAGAGAGAGTAAGAGAGAATTTTTTAATATTTATTTTTTAGTTATCGGTGGACACAACATCTTTGTTTGTATGTGGTGCTGAGGATCGAACCCGGGCCGCACGCGTGCCAGGCGAGCGCGCTACCGCTTGAGCCAAATCCCCAGCCCTCCTCCTGTTCTTCTGACTAGCACTTCAACACAACATTCGTCTCTCTTCTTCTTTTTGTACTGGTGATTGAACCGAGGGGTGCTCTACCACTGGGACACCATCCCAGCCCTTTTTGTGTATTATTTAGAGATAGGGTCTTCCAGAGTTGCGGAGGGTAGCTCTGATCCTCCTGCCGCACCCTCCTGAGTCGCTGGGATTACTGGTGTGCATCACCACACCTGGCAGTTTGTCATCTTATTTTTAACACCCTCCCCCCCAAGTAAACTTTAAAAATGTCATTCAAAGCTGCGCAAGGTGTTACATGCCTGTAACCCCCAGCACTTGGGAGACTGAGGCAAGGAGTATCACAAGTTCAAGGCCAGCCTCAGCAACTTAGTGAGGCCCTGTCTCAAAATTAAAAAGGGCTGTAGTATAGAAAATTAAAGGGCTGGGCACGTAGCTCAGTGGTACATCCTTCTGGATTCAACCCCCTGTGCCACCCCTGAAATTCACTTGACTGGGTTGTAGCTCAGCAGTAAAGCATGCACTTAGCAAGCAAGAAGCCATGGGTTCAATCTCTAGCACCAAAAATAAAATAACTATGAAATTTAAAAACGAGAACACACCAGTGGGAAGACATTCAAGTGAAAATCTCACCTTTGACTGGGGTGCAGCTCAGGGTAAGACACCTGCTCAGCACATACGGACACCCAGCCCACCAATGAAGCACCAGCCCGTCCGCTCCTGAGAGAGCGGATCTTAATTCACCATCTTAGTGGACAACCACAACAGAGTATCTCATATCCTTCCTCTATTTATGATTTTGTTTTTTACATTTAAGTGTCCAACCACGTTTAACTTGAGTATAAAAATCGCCTTTGACCAAAATCTCCTCTTTCCTGATGAGGTTTTGAAAAGCTGGTCAGGGGGTGACAGGCTGTCCCCTCCCCAGAGCCCAGGCCAGCCCTCCAGGCTCTGCCCATGTCCTCTCTGAGCCAGTGGCCTGCAGCTGTACCGTAAGACGTCTTAGGATAATGTCTGGCTATTCCTGCTGCTTGCTTTCCACTTTAATTTTAGAATCAGCCTGTTTTCTTTGTTTCATAGTGGGGACGGAACCCAGGGACTGTCTTTATTTGATAGTCTTGCAAAGCTGTTGAGACTGGCTTGAACTTGCCATCCTCCAGCCTCAGCCTTCCGAATTACTGCGGGGTGTGGTGTGGGAACAGCACGTTTCACTTCTGGCTTTTCACACAGATATTTCCCTCCATTACTAGGAGTTTTATCTTCTTTTGTTGCTAATGAAAGCCCGATCTTCCATGGTCCGAGTGTGCAGGAAGGCTGCTGACTTTCCTGTTAACTGGGGTCATGGCTTTCTGTGTGCTTCTCTTGGATTTTCTAGGCATAGTTTTCTCGTCTGCAAATAATTTCACCTTTCTAACTTCACAACTTTTTTCTTGACTGTGTTCCTTTTCAGTTATTTCCTCTGTGCCATGAGTTAACCACATTAACTTTATTAAAACACTGGCTGATGCTGAAAATATGGGAAAGGACAGCTGTTAGTGGGAGGAGAGGCCCAGCCCAGCGCTGTCTGTGAGGTTCTGCCTCTCCTGTGGCTGCTGACAGGGGACCAGGAGGGGACGGCCACTGGAGAGCACTAAGGGCTTGCCTTTACTGGCATGTTGATAATTGAAATTGCTCAACAGTTATGAGGAAGGTGTAGTTTGCATACCAAAAAGTTTTATTAATGTAATTTTAAGGCCAATTAAACTAATTTTATTCAAAGTCTATATTAAATTACAATATTAACAATCTCTAGACACAATGAACCTAAAATATAAGAATAGAAATAGAAATCTATCTGGTCTTTCACAGACCTCATATAGAACTCATAAATGAAAATTTACAAATATAGAAATGATATTTAAAGAGTAAGGATTTTAACATGGGAACCCAAAAGATGTCATATTTTAAACACGCATGTCTCAAAAAGGGAGAATCCTTTAATAAATTTAGCATAAAATCAAATTATATAAACTCGGTATATTCCAGAAAATATTGCTTCAAACACGATACCATGATCAAAATTCCTTTGGTAGCTTTTAATCAAAATGAAACATGGTACTCTGTAAAATGGAAAGTACTTTCCAATGTTCTCACAAGAGCATCTTTGTCATTGTCACCATAGTAATGTCTCCACTCAACTCTCATTCCACCTCCCGTGTGTGTTCACATGTAACCAGGAACCAACAAAACCCTTTAATCTTTTGACAAAGTGACCACTGTGTCACAAGGTCAGGACTGTCAAGTCGGCTAGGGAACTTCCTGCAGGGTGGGGCAGAAAACAGGGCAGTCCCTGCTCAGGACTGGGAAACCAAACAAACCAAACTGTATCTATCACGGTAATCACACAAATGCTGCAAGTTAAGAAACCAAACGCAGGTGCCCACCCTCAGAAGGAAACAGGGGCCAGGTCCAGCCCTCAGCAGAGGGCACGAAGGTCCTCGCTGTAGGCCACTGGCTGTGCGCTGGGCTCAGCGCGATGACACAGGGACCTGGCTTGAAAGCCCGATTTATAAAAATCCGTTGCCACAGGTTAGACCTCTCTGGGACCCAGGGTTCTGGCTGCAGGGCTGAGCTGCCCATGGGACCTGCTGTCTTCCCATGGTGGCCCGTGGGGGCTTCTGTTCTCACTCTGAGGCTTGTCAACGGAGCACTCTGGGACTTCGATGCAGCATGGAGGGTCTCTTCATCGTGCACTCGGGACCACACACACACACACACACACACACACACCAACCCACTGGCGGCTCCCTCCACAGAGCGGCAGGACCTTGTGGAGGACTCCTGTCAACTACCACCTGCGTCCAACCTCAAAGTCATTCCACACAGAGCAACGAACATCTAAATGCCTAAGAGAACTGAGAACTGGAGGGCAAGGACGTGTCACGTGAAGACCCCCACCCCGGGCGAGATGGTCTGTCGTCCCCCGCCCGGTGAGCCGAGGGTCTCCCGTGTCCAGCGGCAGGCTCCTGGAGCGAGTGGGCTTCGCCACCCTGCAGATGTGTCAGGCCACGTAGTGGTACTGGTTGGGACTGTCCTTGTCACGCTCCATGTAGTCTCGGTCTATCAGAGACTCGATTCTCTTCTTCAGGTCTCCAGGCTTGAAGAGAAGACAAGAGGACTCCTCAGCACAGCAGCCCCCACCCGCGACGTGCCAAGGAAGCACCTGCTCATGATCCCCAGAGGACACATACTCATCCACGCCAGCAGGGTACTGTTACGGTTTTCAGTGCTGGGGAGCCCCAGGCCCTTGTACATGCTAGGCGAGCGAGAGCTGTACCACGGAGCTGCACCCAGCCACTAAACCCACGGAGTCATTTACCTTGACTGGAAACTTCAGCTGGTTATACAGCTCAGAAACTAGAAGATTGTGACCAAGAGTCTTCCTCATCTTCATGATTCTGACTATAGCAGCATCAATCTGGTATTGCCTATCCTGAAACACTCTCTCGGTAGTGCTCACTTGTTCTTCAACCTGTGCAAAGACAGGAACAGAGTGTAAAAATGTTTTCTGTGTTGTTTCACGTTGTTGAGTTTGACAAGTTTTGTTCTGATGTAAATCAAGGCCAGACCTTGGATAGACCCTCTTTCATTAGGTGTTTTCATTTGTTCTAGGAAAACAGCTTCTTAGAATGGCACACTCAAAAGCAAAAGTTGAAACTAATTTTAAAAGTTATGTTTTCCTTATCAGAATGTGCAATCAGCAGTAAACAAAGCACCAGGACTTATTACACAATGAGCTTTGCCTGACACCAGGAGCCAGACTGAAGCCCATGGTAGGCTGCGTGGCCACCTGGAGATGTGAAGAGGCATGGCAGGTTGGAAGACTGATTCTTGATTTAAAGCAACCTTTATCAAGTAAGGATTGATTTTTAAAATGAGGGGGGGGGGAATTTAAACATGATAAAGAACAATTACTAGAAACAAATAGTAAATACCACAAACAAAAATTAAAAACATTACTTAAGTGGAACACCCTGGCGTATGCCTGTAACTTCTGCTGTTCAGGAGGTCGAGGCAGGAGGATCGCCAAGTCTGAGGCTAGCCTGGGCAACTTGGCAAGATCCCGTGTCAAAATTAAAAAAATAAAAAAGAGCTGGAGATGTAGCTCAGTGGTTGCACACTCGTGTTCAACCCCCAGTACCAAACAAAAACAAAAACCCCAAAACAAAAACAAAACACTAGACTTAAAAGGGTCTACCTATGCAACTGAGAACAAACTAAAAAGATATACTAAGAAGCAACAGATAAAATGATCATTATTTTTAGATGAGCTAGAAAAATCTAAGAAAATCAACTGAAAAACCATCAAAGCTGATGAGACTTTTATAAAGGGGCTAAAGTAAGAAAAATGCACAAAGATAAACACACACTAAAAACACCATCAGAAATGTAAAGAACAGAGACCCCGGGAGGGGTTATAGCTCAGTGGTAGAGCTTGCCTCGCACCCGTGAGGCACTGGGTTTGATCCTCAGCACCACATAAAAATCAATAAATAAAATAGGGCTTGCAAGTGCTTTACGGCCTACACTTCGTTGCAGCCTGCAGAAAGCCACCATCACTTCTTTAGGAAGGGCTTTGCTCCCTGTTCTTCTCTACTACCACAGTGCCCTTGGCTGAAGGAATCGTCTGTGTGCTGGACAGGACTGCTGGGCATAGCTCTGAACGGCCGGCTGGATCTCCGTGGTCACAAGAGCGCCCAGCGCCCACAGGAGGTGCGAGCTGTGGTCTGCTGACCAAGCACACGTTTGCAACTACTGATCAGCATGAACCAGGAAGCTGAGGCCTGTACACACGAGAGCCCCGAGAGGGGGCCTGAAAGCCGGGGAATGCAAGCTGAGCAAGAGGACAACGTGGCTCTCAAATGTCCCGGGAGGGTGAGAGTTAGAGGAGTAAGTGTACTACCTAAGTGCTCTGGGGGTCAGGGTGTGGCTCTGGTGGAGCACTTGCCTAGCATGTGAAGTGCCTGGGTTCAACTCCTAGCACTGGGGAAAAAATAAAAGGAATCAGGTGCTGCCTGTGAAAACAGATCAGCAGAACCTGGAGACAGGATGAGAAGCTGACCCAAATGCAGGAACCCAATACACAACAAAGGGGATGATTCAAGGACGCCATCCCAGGTGACATCAGAAGGGACCAGCGGTAGGGGTCAGTGCACAGAAATGGTACGCACGCAACGTTCCCACAGTAAGAACAGTGTGTGACAGGCATGCCACAGAAGCCACCGTGGGGGCTGGGGATGTGGCTCAAGCGGTAGCGCGCTCGCCTGGCACGCGTGCGGCCCGGGTTCGATCCTCAGCACCACATACCAACAAAGATGTTGTGTCCACTGAGAACTAAAAAATAAACATTAAAAATTCTCTCTCTCTCTCTCCTCTCTCACTAAAAAAAAAAAAAAAAAAGCCACCGTGGGAGCACACACGTGGCAACATGACGACTCGACATTTGTAATCCAGAGCAGGCGGAGGGTATGTGCACCCAAATCTGTAACAGATGCCAACCTGCCCTTAGAGGTGGAAACCACCCCACAAGCCAGGATGCTCACTGCACCCTTGGAGCATGCTGCTGAGAGATGGAGCCCTCCTGAGAGGCCCAGGTAGGTTCCATATAAGGTTCTACAGGAAGTGAGACTCACAGAGACGTGAAAGACCAGGAGTTGCCAGGGCAGGGAGGAGCTGACAGGGCAGAGGGCAGGCGGGCAGTGACACCACTTGACACAATACTGCAAACCCACCAAAGGCACAGCACTGGGGGCAAACCCCACACAGGCTGTGCACGTGATATCGAGGCACTGTAGCTCACTCACTGTGCCAACTGGGGTGTGGATGGTGGGGAGGCCACGTGGGGCAGGGAAGGGCGCATGTGCGAAACTTCTACACTTGCCTGTCAATTTTGCTATGAATCTAGAACGATGCTAAGAAAATAGTCTTTCAGGAAAGTAAATGCACATGAGCACACAAAGCCTGCACCAATTCAACACCTTTCCAAAAAGGACGTCTATTTCCCTACACTTGCCACCCTGGAGATCACCAGACTTCTTAACATTTTTCCCACTCACATGGAAAATGGAATACTACTTTAATTTCAGAGGATTATTGATGTGAGTCAACATCATTTTACACTGTGGCTGGTCTCAGGAGTTTCCTTGCGAATGATCTGAATGTACTTCCTGTCTGGCTTCCTGAAGCCTCCCACTGTCAAAGCCAGAGCTGGAGAGGTACCTGTGGGTACCTGGGTTAATCCGAGGTGTCCTCTGTCCTCTGGAGTGGCCCCACCCCTTCATGAGCCCTGGCACGCACCGTGCAGGTGTGGCTGGAACCTGCCCCACATGCGGGCTATGGGGTGCTGCGGCAGCAGTGAGAGCTGGGGTCTGGAGTCCGTCCACACCACAGACACTCGAGGGTCTGCTCCCTGCTCACGCTGCCACACTGTCATGGTACCACACAGATATTGCAGCAGGCTCCTGCCCCAGGCCCAGGTACCCAGTTCTGAAAATCCACCTGCTTTTTGTGCCAGGAGAATCTGCTGCCACAGAGCTGACGCAGCACATCACCGTGTGAGTGGGAACAGCTGCTGTTGAACAGATTTCCAAGTTTCCTTCTCACGGAGACTATAAAGCTCACGAACGCTACGTGAAAATAAGTGCTTTTACAAACACAGGTATTCAAATTAGTTTTAGAAAACGCTCTGGACCTCTGTCTAGAATCACTATGAAAACCAATGATCTCTTGGTGAGCACCCAATAAAAATAGAGTGTTGTACGTACGGTTTCCTTCATCTGGATCTGGTTGATCTTGATTCTAAAGAGCTTGTGCTTGAACTCTGCATTGAAGAGGAATTTGTCCCCGTCCTCCACCTCCTTTCCTTTGGGGCTTTTGATCAGGACACGCGCCTTGCCACAGGCCAGGGACTGCAGCGTTCTTCTCAGTTCACTGTCCTCTGCATGGGAGGCAAAGCAAGAGCAAGCACAGGTCGGCATGAACCCATGAGAGCCTCCAAGACGAGGAGAGACGGGCCGCCACCAGCTCCTGGGGGAGCACGGGCTTTGGGACATCCTGACAAGTCTGCCTACCTATCCCGGTGGCCATTTTTATCTCCTCAAAGCTGAATCCGTCTCCCTCATTGAACATGAGCAGCACCAACGTCTGGAAGAGGGACACCTGGAACTCTTTCTTCCCCTGTGAGGAAACAGAATCGCTGCTGCAAGAGCTGCACTCGGCACCCAGGCAGACCAAGAAGAAGCATTCTGCTCTCAGACTTTTTGTGAGGGACAAAGAACTCACTAATACCACCAAGTACGAAGGAATACTCTGCCATCCAACCTCCTCTAGCTATGGGGCCTCTTGGTGGCAGCAGGAATACTTGAGGCCAGAGGAGGGAGGAGGCTCACCTGGGAGGTGGCCAGGGAGGGTGAGCACAGGGATGGCTCTGCCTGGGTCAGCCAGGGCCATCCCACTGGGCTCGTCCCCAACAGCCCAGAGTGCCAATAGCTGAGCCTGTCCCCGCTGAGAGAGGCTGCACTTCTGTACTGAGGGGACACAAGGAGGGGCTGCCAGGCCCCCTGGGTAGACCAGCTTGGCTCTGTGTGCAGCGGCGTGGTGGCCTACAATTGTGCAGCACACTAGCAAGGCAGAGGCTGGGGTGGCAGATGAACAGGTCACCCTCAGGAGCATGTGCAAGGACGTGCGCAGAAGGACTGAAACCTACGCGATCCCACACAGACAAGCATGTTGTATCAGCTGTGCAGAACAGGAGACTGGGACTATTTTGCATAGTGCAGGCGACCAAGCATCATTTACAGAACTGAGGGACATCATTTACAGAACTGCACACACAGGGACTCCGCCTCACCAGCATGCCTTCCGTGTGCCTTCCCTTCCACTGACCACTCTTACCGCAGCCCGTGTGAGTGGGCACTCTCTCTCTAACTGGAGTGATCCAGGAAAGACCGCCATTCAGTTGTCAAAGAGCCCCTTTGGGGCCCGTGGGATATGTCAGAACTTATTTACTGGCTTGGCACGTTAAAACAAAAGGAAGAAAATAAAACAGCAGGAAGAACCCTGGAGCTGGAGGGCGGCAGCGGCGCAGGCCACCTAGAGGCTGGCCGAGTGCTGAGCTGCTAGATGATGCCCCATGATGCCCCTCCCCTTGTTTCAGCCAGTCCCTTGGTCAGAAGTGACATCTTACTGTAATTTTTTAAAATTTTTATCTATTTTATGTGGTGCAAAGGATGGAACCCAGTGCCTCACATGTCCTAGGCGATGCTCTGCCTCTGCACTGCGCCTAGCCCTCCTTCCTGTGTCTGAATTGCAACCCTTTGGCCAGCTGAGAAGCAGAACGCACCTCCCAGTCTCTGCTTGATCCCGTTACACCAACACTGCCCCTGACGGACTGGACACCATACCAACCCTCAACTACTGTTCAGCTCACTGACCTAGAAAACCCAGGGCTCAATTGTGCCAAACAAGGTTTCCTTCTTTGCTCTCAAGGTTCAATGACAATTTAAAAAGTTCCGTGAACACCCAGGCGTGGTGGTGCACGCCTATTACCCCAGGGACTAGGGAGGCCAAGGCAGGAGGGTCACAAGTTCCAGGCCAGCCTTGGCACCTTAGCAAGAACCTGTCTCTAAATAAACTAGAATAAAAGGCTCGAGACTGTGGCTCCGTGGTTGCGCTTGCCTAGCATGTGCAAGGCCCTGGGTTCCATGCCCAACACTGCACGCACAAGGCAAAGTGAAACGCCGTGAGGTAGAGAAGAACTTACCTCCTTAAACTCTGCTTTTAAGACAGCGTGCCCCAGCGTGGTCTGCCACTGCAGCTTCCGTCCGCTGTGCTTGCCCAGGTAGAAGGCCTTGAACACCTCCTGGAGCCGGACCATCTGAGGGCACGGGGACACGGGCAGCCTGAGCACCTGGCTGACAGCCTGCCACTGCGGTGTCTGCAGTCTCCGGCAGCTCAATCAGAGTGCGGCCCCATGTTCCCAGGGTTATTTCCCTGACTCCATCACCTGTGAACATGCCCTCCATCCCGACCTTGGGGTTTCTTGTCACCCCTGGCTCTTGCTTGGACAGAGAGATGGTGCCCGCAGCCAGAGGCCCTGACCTGCTCAGGTCCCAGCTTTCCCTCCCCCCACCTGACACCTGGGCAGAGGACAGTGACAAGCTGCGCTGCACTGTGGTGAGAGTGGTGTCTGACACAGCGAGCCTGCCCACAGGGCACAAGTGCCTCAATGGGCACTGTAAGTCACTCTCGCCAGCCCTCCGCCACCTGACACCCTATGCCGCCCGGCCAGAAGGCCCTCAGCAGACACAGCCGCTGACCTTGGGCTTCCTAGCCTCTTCCCAGAACCAAAAGAAAGAAATGTCTTTCTTTACGAAGAACTTGGTCTTATGCATTCTGTCACACCAACAGAAAATAGACTAAAACAAATATTCTCAGAGTGACCGGCAGCTGGGGACAGGCGGGGAGTGCTGGTGAGGAAGTGGTGGATGTAGGAGGCCGTGACTGCTGAAGGGAAGGTGGAGTGGAGCACTATGTGGGGACGGTCTGGAGGGGCTCCAGGTGAGCCCATGATGCTACTGGAGGAACTTCCCCAGGAGTGACCACAGATGTTCAAATAAAAATCTGCACCCCATCTTCTAAGAACCCCTGGGCAGAAACCACCCAGATGCCCGTCACTGAGTGGAAAGTGCAACGTCTCACCCAGCTGTGAGAGGTGGTGACCTGGTGGCTGCAGAAGGGCTACAGTGGAAAGCCGTGTAGGGCCCAGAGCCAGAGTCAGCACCAGTGGGGTGGCTGCGGCTGCAGACTGGCCAGGAAGGGCCTGGAGGAGGGAGGCCTGCCTGGCAGGGAGCACCTGGGATGAGGGTGGTCACCAAGGGGAGCCCTGTCCAGCAAGCCTGGGGTGGTGTGAGCAGACACCAGGGAGCACCAAGGACCCTGGATTCCTAGCAGTGAGAGAAATGAAGAAAACTTGTTCCAACAGAAGCTGCTCCTCAGCAGCAGGGCGGAGCTGGGAATCCAGCCCTGTCCCTCAGGTGGATGAGCCCAGGCAGAGCCGTGCAGGACACAGCTGGAGAGCAAAGACATCCGCCACATATCACTACCACCAAGAGAAAGGGCGGGACCCACCGCCACTCCCTGGGTGTTGGGTGGGTAGCGTGATGCCCGCTCAGAGCCCCACTCCTTTGGCACCACTCCTTTGCCCGCACCCTGGGCTACACTGGGGCACTAGAAAGATGCTATAAAGGACATTCTCAGGCAGCTGGGATAGGCCTTCTGTTGGGCATTCCTGGCTTGACAGGGGTTCTGGTGCTCTTGGGAGAGACCACAGAAGCATTCAGGGTGAGGGGACAGCGCTCACGTGGGCGCTCCTGGACCTGGCTTGACGTGCTCCTTGAGAGTAAGGAACTGGTGGCCACGGGAGGCCTGCTGGGAGCGGCCTGCAGGGTTTCCAGCCACGGCAGGCAGTCTGGGGAGGAGCCAGCACAGCTGCTGCAGAGAGGCTCCCGAGGGACAGCGGGGACCTCGAATGCAGGGTGCACTGGGCCCCGGCAGGCACGGGTGAGAGGCAGAGGTGGGCAGCGCTTGGGGTCAGGGAAGCCCAAGGACAGAACAGTGTGGGTGTGGGCGCTGCACACGCCAGAGGGCGACTGACATGCCAGCATGTGGGGCGAGGGCACCGCACTGGGGACTGATGGAGAAAATAGATGACCTCAAAGGCCACTGACAAGAGAAGACCGAGCAGAGTCCACTCAGCCGAGTCTGGGAGTGAGGTGCACACGTCCCAGGAGAGGCTGTGGGCCCAGCTCTGCCCCGTCTGGCTTCGCCAGCCCCCAGCTGGGAGGCCCCACTCATCGTTCACCACAGTCGTGGGCCCTGTCTAGGAAGCCTCCTGGGCACTGGAGCCCCCTCCCCCATCACGCGGGACTTCCACTGCCAGGGTCTCCTCCACCAGGAGGCTTCCACATTCCCCCGCAGACACTGAAGACGAGTGGACCAGCAGCCACTCAGGGAGAAGCACTCTGAGGCAGGTGGGTCCACCGGGGCCAGCGGGGTCCACTCCAAGCCCGCTCCTCAGAGACCACAGCCCGTCCCTGGGCAGCGTGTCTGAGCACGGTGGGTCTGACGTGAGGGCCGTGCTTACCTCCGGAGGCAGGTGCACTTCCATGGGTGTGTAGGTGGGCCAGTACCCCATGGTGAGGATGTTCACGGTAAGGTCGATAGGGCCTGGGGCACTCTGGTTCTGCATGTGCTGAAAACACAGGGTCCAAAACAGTGAGCTTAGAAGGTCATCAGAGACACTTGGTGGACCGGTGAGGAAATGGGTGGTTTTCAAGATAAAGTGTCAGCAGGCGTGCCAGTGCCCAAAACAGAGACCACTCGGGCCAACGCCAGGTCCCAGCAACACTAGAATTGCTCTTCTTCTTCTGGCCATGGCCCACGGGACACATTGCTAGACCCAGTCAACCAGTGTGCCACCTGCAGCCTCTCTGCTCACCTGCTTGAAGTGAACCATGATGTCCTTGGAGAGCTCCATGTCCTTGAACATCCCCTCCAGCTTGCTGGTGAATGCGGCCCCGCACTCTGTGACACAGGAGAGACCAAGCAGTGCGTCCCAGCAGAGACACAGGAGCCTGCCCCGCTGCCCCAGGGCCAGGAGCCCCCCTCTGCCCCCAAGGCTCACCATGCTTGAGCTTGGACAGCATCGACTTTTCAGCATCAACCGAGGCACTTTTTCCAACGAGGAGTCTCTTTGCCAAATCTTTCTTATAAAATGCTTCAAAGACATCTTTGCCTGTGTGAAAGCAGAGAGAGCACACAGAACGTCAGGGCTGAGAGGACGCACCGTGGCCACAGAGGCCAGTGCTGTCCTGTCCCAGGGCCTCCGTCCAGAAGGCCCCCCTGGCTAGCCTGGGGCCCCGGCACCCCGTGCTCACCATGGATGAACCTGAAGAGGATCATGATCTTGTCCAGAATCCTCTCCAGCTCCTCGTCTGTGGCCTCCTTGTTGCCCGCCCGGAGCTTGGAATCCACGTGCTTGGCTGTGCGAGCAAGAGTGAGCTGGGACAGCGTGTGGCTGTGGCTCAGTGGCAGAGTGCTTGCCTCCCACGCCCAGGCCCTGTGTCTCACACAGAAGGGACAGGGAGAGAGGGAGAAGGGGCGGCGGGCCTGCCTCTCTTCCTCAGGCAATCCCTGAGCAGCACCTCTGCACAATGACACCCAGGCACTCCAGGGTAAGTATCTGCAATCTTCAGTTCCGCAAAAACACACACCCCCCAGAGCCTGAACAGAGTCACAAAGGGGCTTGAACGCTCTCTTCTAACCCAATCAAGAAGGAAACTGACTCCAGTTTAACCCTCGGGTTCCCGACTTGCTACTGCACAGAGGCTGGAAAGTACAACTTCAAGAGCCAAGAAATAAGCCCAGAGGTGACCTTCTCACAGAAGAATTCTTAGGGCTTCAAGAGGCTAAATCCAAGTGTCAGTATGGGCGCATGAGGACTCCTCAGTGTGGGGCATTCTGAGTGTGCAGACAAGCACACAACCATCTGGTGAACACTGCTCCGCTTGACACCAAGAGTCAACAGACTCCGAACCCCTGTGTTACAGGACCCCTTGCCCTTTACTACTGCAAATTTAAAACACTTTTACTGGCTAATAAAGTTTGAGTTCTAAAATATTATTTTGATACTGTGATGAAGTAATTATACAAAGGTGATCATTCAAACAGCCACATGCTGTCCCCTCTGAAGTCTCCCCAGTCTCATCCTATTCCATGCCGAATTGTGAAGGTAAAGGGCTAGGAAAGACTGAGTCACACATGCAGGCCAAGCACCCGCCCACCCTTCCAGGAGCACACTGGCGCCCAGCCCAGCAGCACAGATCTGTCTGGCGAGGCCGTGTTCACCCTCGTGGAACGGCACACACGTAGGTGCAGCCTCTATGTGCCGTGTACCCACAGGGCGTGACGAGCCCCCAACAAGGAGCCCAACATTTGGGAACCTGGTCTGCTGGGCTGCCTTGTCACGCGTACCGATGAGCTCGGCGGGCTTGTTGGGCCTCCGGTTGATGAAGGCCTCGAAGGACTCCTTCATCAGGTTGACGAAGCGCTCATTCCTTTGGAAGCACACCTCCACCACGTGGTCCACCCTGTCCTTGAACTCCAGCAGGTCCTGCACCATGTCCTTGTCCTTCTCAGGGTTGATGACAATTGCTGTCCCAAAAGTCTGCAAAAACAACCAGGGGCCAGGCCAGAGTCAGGCAGTGCGGCCTAGGGCCATCAGAACTGCCTGCAGACGTCAACCACCATCCTGGGGTGGGCAGAGCCCTGGGGCTGAGAGGTCCTGAGCTGGCACCTGGCAGTGCCCCTGAGGAGCAGGACACGCAGGGAGCTGCTGCAAAGTGCTGCCCGAGCAGGCGAGGCCCTGTGTCCTGCCATCCCAAGGCACAGTGGGATTGAGCTAGTGTCCATGCCAGTGACCCAGCAGGCTGCATGCGCCTCCCTGCGTGGGGACCTGGAGGAACAGGCAGTTGCTGCCCGGCACTCGCAACCCTCCCACGCACCTTGATGTACTCGCTCCAGTGCTGCAGCAGCGCATGCTGCCCGCCCTTCACACGGCTGAACAGCTGGTACATCTGCGTGAGGTCGGGCACTCTGTTCTCGTCCAGCAGGTGGTCAAGCCCTACATGCAGAAACGCGGGGTTAGGGCAGTACCCCAGCACCGAGAAGCACACAGCACGCTGCTTGTCTCTGTGTGGCGATCTGGCCCAGGTGGACACTGAGGTAGGCCTTGGTAGGCGGGCCTGGGAGATGTGTCATTGACTTCTTCATGCCACCGGTGCTCCTGTTCCAGTACTGGGGCGACAGCCAGAGAAGCATTCCAGATACTCGCCTGGAGACCCACCATGTGGCTATCTGATCTCTGGTTTGACCCATTAGTAAAACGTATTTGCACAGATCAACTCAGATCTGATCTTTAGTGGATTGGTCCTCTCATGCATAATAAGTTGAGACAGAAACTTCTCAGACACTCGGAGGATCTAATGTAGCATTTTTAGATTTTCAGTGTTTGCAGCCAAGTTCTAAACCTGGAGAGGCAGCTGGGCTGGGGAGGCCGGGAGCTCTCAGACACCCAGCACCTAGTGTGAGGCGGCCTGCATATCACAGGCAGTGAGAGAACTGCCAAGCTGCAGCCAGGGTCCCCAGCGCCTGCCATATCTCTTGTCACTCCTTGTCTACTCATGCAAATAAGACCTTTGCTTTTTAGTTTTCTAGTTTATTTTCCTGAAATCCTAAACAGTGTCTTGTTAAAAAATTTTAAAATTTTTAAAAAATTTAAAAATTTAAAATTTTATATTTTTTAAAAGCTTCTAACAAAACCCAGAATACGCTTTTACACATAAAATTTGCCATTTTCTCACAACCATTTTGCTCGAAGTATGCAGTACACAAACGCACACAACCTCTGCCCTCCCATGGGGTCTTCCTTTTTTGCAAGACATAGATTCTGGGTGGACGATGTATGAGGTCCTCAGGCAGCTGTGCTGGTTTCCTGGGGTGCAGGGGGAAACCCCTGGGACTGGAACCGGGGCTCAGGCACCATGTCAGCCATGGAGCAGGTGCCGAGGGTCTTCTGGGACCCAGACCGGCACCCATTAGTCTTCTCTGACCACTGATGCTCAGGGACACCTAGCCTCCCCTTTCAGCTTTCCCCAGCTGGCACCTGGAGATCCCCTGCTCATGGGTCTCGCTGGGGACAGGGCTACTATCATGGAGCAGAGCTCAAGCCAGAACATGTGTGGGCATGACGTGGAACCACCCAGACTGGACCCCAGGCACAGTGGCCTGGGAGAGCTGCAGCCCCACATGCATCTGAGATGGGTTTGAACGGCCCTGAACACCTGGAAGTCACAGAATGACCAAGTGCCAGGGGCTCTGAAAGGCCAGGCTGCTGGTCAGGGCCACTCGGCCACTTAAAGAGCTTCAGGAAGGGAAGCAACATGCAAGGTGCGGAGCCTGTTCTCTTCCTCAGGAGACCGGGAGGAGTGTGCCTGTGCATTGGGGGTCCCAGTTCTGGCCGTCCACTCAACAATGGGCCACGCACACCTGCCGAGGCTCTCGATGGCTACGGGCTCAGCATGTGTAGGACACCCAGGAGCACAGGTGTCTGCTCCTAGATGGCCCCCCGCGAGCTCCCTGCATGGCTGCTGGGCTGGAGGGCTGGCTAGGCCGTGCCGCTCCTCCCAACCATCCACCTTCCCATCGCCGGCTGGGTGCTCGCTGCAGATTCTCGATGCCGGTGAGAACCATGCCCGGACCCTCCCCCAGGCTGATCCTGCCTGCTTGTGGGAGGCCAGCACTCGTGTCCACTCACACAGTGGGACCGACCTTTCTGCAGAATCGCTGTCAAGTGTTCTCCCAGCAGCTGCTTCTCTACACAGGCGATCAGTGGTCTCCTGTAAAATCGCAGAGAGCCAGGCCAGGAACAGGACTGGTCAGCCACGAGACAAGGTGCCCACAGCCCAGCTTCTCACTGGCCCTTCTCAATATTCTAAATGCAACCTGCTCAAGGGCACGGTGGGGCCCGGCAGAGAGCGGGTGCCCAGGGTGATGGCCACACTGGCGGGCAGCGAGCGCACTGGCTGTGCCCTGGAGCTGCTTCCTGAGCAGCATGTGGGGCCCTGGGCAGGCTGGCCTGCCTGGGCTGTGAGCCTGCTGTGCTGGCGGCCTTCTCCCCGCACCTCGCTGACCGGGCCCAGGTCCTCGCCCTCGTCTCCTGTGGCAGCCCCAAGACCCACACCCACTTCTGCCTCTTGTTTCCACAGACAGGATTCTGCGTCTCCTGGACGTCCCCACCCCACCTGCAGTGCACAAGGGCCACACAGAGCGGGCGCCTGAGGGTCTGGGACTCAGCAGGCGAAACACCACGTCCACATGACACACAGGTCATCTCCGAGTGCTTGTCTATGACCCACAGCTCAACCCCATTTTGGATCTTTTCAGACCAGAGGGTCTGATCTGATCCTGAGGCTTGTCAACCTTAGGTCTGTTCACTTGAGAATTGGGGGGAAACTCTGTCACATGCCACCTATGTAAGACCGCGGCAGCCCATGGAGGATGGAGAGTGGCTGGGGAGGGGGCGTGCAGGGCGGTGAAGACTCCTCGAGCCTGCTGCCCCATCCCTGCCCGTGCTTGTGCAGCTCGGCTCTGGGCAGACGCGGCTGTGGGCTCCCCCCGTGCCCTCTGAACAGGCTGCACTGGCTCATGGGCACTTCCTTGGCGCCCTGTCTGCTGAGACCTTGCTCCTCTCTCCTCCTGCCTGGCCCTCCACCCTGGAGCTGAGTTTTGCACACGTGACCATGTTCACCTCTGCCCCTTCCTGTCCAGTCCTGGGCTCGGTTTCCCTGGAATGGACACTCAGGCCACTCCCCCTTCCCTCGTTACTCCTTGGCCTCAAGAAAGAGAAAACAACGTGACCGTTCCCTAGTGTACTGCAGTCACGTAGGATGTGTGCCAAAAAGTTCAGGGCAAGGGTGTGTTCCGCCACAGGAAGCCAAGTCCTCACGCTCCCCGTGGCACTCACTAGTGACAGCACGGCATGGACAGCAGAAGCAAAGTGTGCCAGGAGTGGGGACACTGTGGGGAGCCAACCCCAGGCAGGAAGGCACCTGACTTCCGTGCACAGGGCCCGTGAGCAACTCACTGCGTGCTGTGGTCCAGGTACGTGATCACGCGGTCTCCCTCTTCCTCCAGGCGCTTACTCACATGGTTTAGGTACTCGGGGACCTTCCGAAGGAACACCGAACACGTCAGTAGCACAAAGATCCTTGCTTCTACCCAAGAACCCAAACCCTGTTTCCTTGTAAATTAAGAAGAGCCCGTTCAAGACAAACATGGACGACTACAGGGGCCGGGGCGAGGAGGTCAGCTGGGAGTGGACCATCACCTCAGGAGGCCCAGGCTGCCTGATGTTGCCCCTGCCCAGCGTCACTCCCTCCCTGAGGCCCATGGCCTGCAGTGTCATCTGGAAGGAGGGTACTGGGCCTGCCACAACCCTGCACCCAGGCACAGCAGCCAGTAGGCAGCTGACACCCTACATCACGCAGAGGTCTCCGAGGATGCCGTACGCGACCCCAGAGCTGCTGCCAGGCTGTGTCTCACGCGAGGCTCCCGTCCAAAACCAGGCCTGGGACCAGCCAGGGTCTGTGCTGTGCTTTGCAGGTGACACAGGGTGGTCAGCCCAGTGGAGTCCCTTAGGGCTCTGCTCACATATCTGGGAAGCTGTACTAGTTTTTTTTTGGTACCAGGGATTGAACCCAGGGGTGTTTAATCACTGAGCCACATCCCAGTCCTTTAAAAGACTTCATTTGAAAACAGGGTCTCGGGGCTTGGGATGTGGCTCAACTGGCAGCGTGCTCGCCTGGCATGCATGAGGCACTGGGTTCAAACCTCAGCACCACATAAAAATAAAGATATTGTGTTCACCTAAAAAACTAAAAAATAAACATTTAATAATAAATAAATAAATAAAGATAGGGTCTCAGTGAGTTGCTTAGGGCCTCGCTAAGTTGCTGAGGCTGGTTTTCAGTTTGGGACCCTCCTCCTCAGCCTAATTAAGCCACTGTAGTTATAGGCATGTGCCACCGTGCCCGGCTACGTAAGGATTGGGGGAAATTTTTCCCCAATGCTTCCTAGAGATGAAAAATTTTGGATTTTCTTTCCTGTTCAGGGTTTACTCATTTTCCCTGACTAAACTTGAGATCCTTTACTATTTTAGAAAATGTCTTGTGGGTTTTATCTGTAGGGGGAAGACAGAAATGCAGTTTCTGAGTGAAGGGAAGGAAAGCAGATCCTTACCAGGATGGGAATAAGCTCACCACTGGGCACTCTGGCCAACCCAGCTCCTCCCCAGGAGAAGGCCCTCGGGGCGGGGGGAGGTGACCCTGAGGTGCTGCCCCAGAGCACAGCTAAAGAGACAGGAGATTCAGAAGCACCCCAGGGTCTCACCTCTCTCTCTTGCATTAATCTTTGGCCTTCTGCAGCATATAAACAATTAGTTTCTTCTAAAAATTTCAGCTCAAACGAATCTTTATATACCTAAGAAACAAGAGGTTAGTGACCAATTTCAGTGACAAAGCCTCAAGGGCTAGGGACCGACTCCTGCGGCAGCCCTGGGCCCAGCTGCCCACACCACCTGCGCAGGGCTCCCCAAGCACTGTCTTCCCTGCGGGCACTAGCCCATTAAAGGGTGTAGCTTTGTCCTTTACAGGGTACTGGCATTTATGTCCACTTTTGCCACCTGATTTTACGATACATTTGCTATAAAAGATAACTATCGTTTTTAACGTGTTCACATCTGTCGGTCTTTCTCCAGTGGCCCCTGGTACACGGTCAGGCCGAGTACCACGCCCTCCTGAAAAGTCAGTGACCTCCCTCTTCCTGCACAGGGAGCTCACCTGAAGGTCCGAGAGCATGCCCAGCAGGCTGCGCAGCAGGCTCCTGTCCACAGCCTCCCCGCTGCGCTCCCGTTCGATCAGCAGAAGGATCCCATCGATGGTCTTGCTCTGAACCGTCTTGTCACTGATGATGTGGTTTCTGAACAGCTCCAACCCCATGTCCCTGGATAGTGGTGAAGACACAACAGACGTGGTCTCGGGCCTCCACTCCAGCTGTCCACAGCCCTATCGGGGCTGCTCTCCATGGACCCTTACATTAAAAGCAATCATTTCTGGGCAGTCCAGGAGGCCTGGTCTCCCTCCCTACAGGATGCCCATTTCCTGGAAAGGTCAAGCTGACCATCCCAAGTGGAGGTGCGGTCTCAGCTCGCGTCTGTAGCTGACAGCCCAATCACCGCTGGGCACAACTCCCGGCCCAAGCCCAGCTCAGCTGCTCCTCCTGGGGAGCCTTGGCACTGGACCTGTCCTTTTCCCTCTGCTGGCTCGGAGCTCCCTCTCCAGGCGCCAGGGCCCTGGTGCCGGGTGGGTATCTTCAAGTCCTAAGCCCTCAACTCACAGCTGGAATCGGGAGGCGATGCAGCTGCTGGGGTGACCACCCAGACGTGTCTGACACAACTCTGTACTGTTTCAGGATTCCTGCGGGTCCCTAACTGCTGAACCCCACCGAAGAAGGGGGACAAACTCAGCTACTGGGCTCCAACCATACAACCTACTTCCAGAGCAGCAACGGGGCTGTGTGTGAGCCCAGGGGTGGTGTGTCGTGCTACGGTGGACAAGGCCGTGAGCCACGTCGGGCCAGAGCCCCCTCCCACACTGCACAGCACACCAGAGAACTCTCCTGTGCACTGGAGAGGAACTGCCTGCGTTGGCTGGAGCAGTGAAGGGCCATGGACGGCCAACAGCCACTTGGTTTGACTCTGAGCCCTGCTCTTGGCTGTGTGCAGGGAACCTAACCTCTCTGCACCTTTCTCCCTCACTGTGGAAAGGGGAGTCGATGTGTGAGCTTGTGCCATGGGAGGTGGTGCCAGACAGGTGGCCAATGCTCCTCACTAGAGACTGCACTGCAGCCCGAGCACACTCCTCCTGACAGGCCCTGTGTCACCCGGGCTAGACGCCACCAGGCTCCGCCCAGGCCTGTTCTGCTGGGCTTGTTGCTCTGCTCTTCCATCGTCTCAGCTGCAGACTCTTCACCCTGGCTCTTTCTTCAAAGCTCAGGCCCAGGCCATCCTCAGCTGGCCCTCCTGTTGTAGTACTGCCCTCAGGCACCCAGGCACGGGGCCTCTGCTGGCCCGTATGATGGACTGGAGGTTGTTAGCCTGCTTTACACTACAGACATGCTCATGTGACGAGCTATGGTATAAATTACCCACAAATCGAGAGTTCAGCCAGGGATCCTGGCAACTCAGGGCAGGTTACTCCAATTCTCTGTGCCTTAGTTTCCACAGAACAGGGGTGGTAATGCTCATGCCCGGTAGTGCTGGGCACCCCGCTGCCGGCTGCAGGAGCAGTGACGCCCCGCACAGAGGAAACGCTGCCCAGAGTGCCCTCATCACTGCTACCACCCCCATCCCTTCCTGTGCACCCGGCTTCCTTCTGTATAGGGCCCACCATCTCATGGCTCACGTGGACACCTAGTATGAGATGTGGGGGCAGAAGAGTCAGAGGAGTAAAGGAGCAACGGGGAATGGTGCTAAGGAAGGGGAGCGCCTCCGAAGGAAGGCACAGACCCGCACAGCCTCCAATTACGTGAACACATCAGCAGGCTGGGGGGAACGCAGCAGCGCGGCCACACCACCTGGACGGGGCGGCAGAGCGAGCGACAGCAGGTGCAGCGTCACTTCATTGTTAAGTGGGAAAGCAGTGGACTACATCAACAGAGAACAAGGAGACAGGGCTCGGTTAGACAGGCCTCTGCTTCAAGCTCGTCAGTTGGGGAAGCCGAGGGGGTCCCACCCTGCATAGCCCCTGCAGGAGGGAGAGGACAAGCAGCAAGGGCAGGAAGGACAGGCCCACACACGAGCAGCCACACTGTGCCAGGAAGCCAGACCCTGTCGGCGGTGGGGCAGGCCCACGGGGCCCTTGGGCATCATGCCCGGGCAAGTGCTAGCAGCCTTCAGTTTTAGCTGCAAGAACTGCTCCAGGCTCAAGCTCAGGCTGCCAGAGGGAGAAGCCACGTCCCCGAGTCTTTACCCCACAGCAGGCCAGGGGTGGGCCACAGAACCCAAGGCAGGCACGAGGAAGTCCAGGTCCACCTCGCCCTCTCTCCTGGTGAAGACCCAGCTGGACTGTGTTGGCATCTGTGACCACGGCTGACCAGGCAGCTAAAGCCAAGGTAAGCTCTAGGGCGGTGCACTCACCAGATGGAGGGCAGCAGGGAGTTCTGCAGGACATAGGTGCGGTCCAGGAACAGGAAGATGCCTCTGACCATGATCTGGGGACCAGAAGAGCAATTGTCCTTCCAGAGCAGACCTCTTGGGCACCGCCACGTGCGCCACTGTGGAGCTCAACTGCTTCTTGATGCCAAGATGACGCCCCCCAGGCCTTACTCGTGAAGCTGACTCTTCTGCTGTGCTTGACCTTGGGCTCTCAAGACGACTACCCTGACTGTGGAACTGCGAAGCAGCCTTACACCTGGTAATCTCCCGCCCGGCGTGACAGCGCCTCAGACTGCTGGAGGCCCCCAGCTTTCCAGACTAGTTCCCATCCCACTGCGGCAAGGCTCTGGGCACCTGTGCAACCTGACTCCCAAATCAGGTGAGAAGGCTGCCCAGGTCCACCAGCAGGCTTCCGCATCTCGCCCAGCTCCAGCCCAGAGCAGCACCCCAGGGAGCAGGTACTCAGTCTGCACTAACCCTCACCAGGTCCCAACAGTCAGGCCACACTAAGTCACACTGGTCAGTATACCTCAGACTGTCCTCCAGCTCAGGAGAGAGGAGACTGGAGCCATCCGGCTTCCCCATCCTGGGGGAGGGCAGGGTCCTGCTTACTGGTGCTCCCCCAGGGCTGCGGCAGGGGGCCCACACTCACCATCTGTCTGCAGTGGTCCTGCCAGCAGGTGTCCATCTTCTTCAGGAACACAAGGCTGTCCAGTGCGTCTGTGCAGAGGTGCTAAGGAAACCTCCCGGGCACAGCGCCACCTGGACCCTCTGTACCCACATCTGCCGCCCCAGCCACGCTCTGGCACTCCGCCCTGTGTCCAAAAGTCCACGAGACCCCAAGAGCTACCTGCCCCTCTGCATGGGCATGCCGGGAGGAGATGCCCTGACCAGACACTGACCTGAGTGCCTGGCCTCGACCTCTAGCCTTGCATCTGTGATTTACAGTCACTTAGTTCAAGGGACTGTGTGACAGCAGCCCCAAGGAACTGAGGGCACCACCCCCAAGCCACAGGTATGGCTCATTCACCCACATCAACCCAGGCACACCCTGCAAACCCTCGGCCACAGCCGTCCTCACCCCTGCTCCCCCTCTGTCTCTCACCGCTTCCTGCACAGCCTTGCTGGTATGCTCAGGCCCTACCAGGGGAACCAGGCCACAGGCAGGGAGGCTGGACCACAGCCTCAACCAGCAAACGGCACTTGCTGGAGGCAGCCCTGCTGAAGGTTCTGGGGGCTGGCTGCGAGGGTGCCCGTGCACGCCTGGAAGGAGCTGGCAGCTGAGGAGACACTGGTGGGCCTCTTACAGCCTGCAAACACACTGTCTGTCTATAGGACCATCAAAGGCCCCAGTCTCAGGGGGAGATCCCGTGCGATCTGGGTCTACACTGCGCTGAGCTCCATACCAAGAGCCCAGGCCTCAGGGGGAGATCCCATGTGACCCGGGTCTATACTGCGCTGAGCTCCATACCAAGAGCCCCGGCCCTCTCTGGTTCTCTCTCCTCTCGCCAGCCGGCTCCTCCCTCTGAACTGGGAACCCTCTCCAAAGTGTTCTTGGTTTCTCCATAGCAACAGGCTGGTCACACAGTCTTGCCACCCACTCCTGTCCAGGAACAGCCCAGCACACACCCCAGGCACTTAGACGTCCTGCCGAAAAGGCCCACCCTGTGCTGTCTGCACTCAGAGGCTGACCACTCTGCCACAGGTCAGAGCCCTGGCTTTCGGGGTCCCTACCTTGGTGTCACCTTCTATGGCTCCCACTCCTGACCTCTGCTGGGGGCTCTTGTCTCCTGGGCAGAACTCTGCACAGGTGCCTGGGACCTCCATCTCCTCTCTCACAGGGGGTCCAATGTCACCCGCCCTCAGCGTGGCCACCAGGCACTCTGGCTGCAGAGCTCACAAGGACTTCTGTGGCAGGAATGCCTATTGTCATGCATCTGTCACCTCAAGGGACAGAATCCCACTCCACTCAGACCTTTCCCAGGGCCTTGCCAGATGCTGGCAGGTGACACTCTTTCAGAAATGGCTGGCTTGGTGCCCTGGGCCTGTCACTGGCCCCTAATTCTCGTTTGTCTTTGTTCTGCAAAGCGATCCTCACAGGGCAGTCTGACCCCATGTGTGTGTGTGTGTGTGTGGTCCTAGGGATGAGACCGAGGGCACTTCACTACTGAGCTGCATCCCCCGCCCTTGAACTTGTGATCCTCCTGCCTCGGCCTCCCAAGGTGCCGGTACTGCAGGTGTGCGCCATCATGCCTGGCTCCCTGTCAGCTACTCATGTCATGGATTTCAGTCCGACTCCTCCAGTGCACTCCTGGTTGGTCCCACCCATAACCTCTATCACAGCCCCTAAGCACTAGGCATGCCCTCCGCACTCTGCCTTCTGTTCCATCCTGTTGTCCAGGGCGCTGCCCAGCGCAGTGCTGTCCTGACGCCCGTGTCTGACCCCAAGATGCCACACAGCTAGGAGGATACTGCATGTGGAGCGTCTTCTGTCCTCTTCTATGGAAACAGTGGGGAGTCTCACACCACGGGTTTGTCCCAGCACCAGAGGAAATACTGGCCCTGGCTCTACCACAGGTCTGCAGCCCACGCACTGTCAGTGGGCATCAGGCAGGGCAGTCACTTTCTGCTTTCCAGTATGAGTACAAGAAGCCGGAAGCAAGCACTTGTCAAGTAACTGAATGAACGCACACTTCAGTCAATCACAGGGCAGGATTCGCTGGCGGGGGGGATCTGAGCAGGTAATCAAGAAGGAGTTTTCAAGCAAACTGGGAGTGGGGGAGAGAAACCCAGCAGACGATGTGCTGGCACGCTAGTGGCTGCAGCTGGCTCCTACGGTAGATATCCCTATGGGCGGGGCTCGAGCACGGGGCGCTCTGCACCCACAGGTGTGTCCTGAGATGCCTGGGCACTGGCAGGTTCCCAAATGCACAGTCGCCTTATCCTGCACATGCTCACAGTCAGCAGCACGGAGCCCTGTCAAAGTTTGGTGGAGGCCTACACAGCAGCTGCAGGAGAGTTCAACACCCACGCTGACAGCCAGGCAGTCCCTGCCTAAGTGGGGGCACCTGGTCCCGGATGCCAGAGCCTCAACATCCAACCAACGAGGCTGCCCTGAGTTCGCCCCGACCCACCCAAGATGAGGGCCAAGGGCCAAGGATTCCCTGAGCCAAAAGAACTGAAAAGCGGGGGTCCCAGACCCTCCTTCCACAGGTGGAGGCGGGGCCCAGGAACACGAAGACACAGCCTGTGCAGTGACGGAACCTGCGTGCCCACGTGGCCCAGCAGGGCAGGGCAGCCACAGCAGAGGGAGTGGCTGCATCTCCTCACAGACGCCCTCCCCGTCCGCAGCGCACGCCTGGAGACCCATGGACATCACCCTGCATGGCCTCCACTGTAGGAGGTGCAGCCCTGGTGGGACAGAGGCCGCACATGACCATCCTGTGAGAGGCCACCTGCAGCTGGGAGTGCCCAGCCAACACCAGCAGGAAAGCTGGGCCTTGGTCAGACAGGGCTGAGTGCCCGCCAACCCCTGGACCAGCCTCACGATTCCTGGGCTTTGGCCTCAAGACTGAGCACAGGAGCCGGTTCTGAGCTCTCCTCTGTCCTGGGATTCGCTGCACATCCCATGAAACCAGGACAGGGGGCTTTCGCAGAGCCAGGAACAGAATCAACACTGAGACGCCACCAGAACTTTCCCTAAACACTTCAACCAGGCACAGGCACAATGAACAGGCTGCTTTCCACTCCTACCAGCAGAGCAGAAGCTAAAACAAACGTCAGCTTTCTGCATGAAGGGCCCTTGAGTGCTGTGGTTCTGACCTGAAGGACATGCACCAGTTCTCAATCCCATCAATCCGGCCTTAAAGACTTAGGTAACGAACAGCCGCCTCACGAGCCACAAAAGGATATTCTCTGAAGGGGAGGATCTGAGCCTGGACGTGGTCCTCGCAGACCTGGCGCAGCTGCTTGTAGAGCGTGGCGGAGACTTTGTGAGAGCAGAGGTTCTCCACAGCCTGCAGGAGGGAGCAGTCATCACTGGCAGCAACAGCCGTCACCCCTTGTGCCCAGGGGCCACGCAGGGCCCTTGCTGCTCCTGCTGCATCTGCTGAGCCTGGCTGCAGTCGGTCCCCAGGGAGCCTGGGGCAGGCGTGGTCCCACAGCTGCATCCTGGAGGCTCTGCTCCCTGGGCCTGCAGTGTGGGCTCTGCCCAGGGACCGCAGCAGAGGGGCTTCCCCTCCCCAGAGGAGCTCCCAGAGGGCTCCTGAGCCGTGTGGGCCAGGCCAGCAGCCCTCCTTCGCCCTCTGTGGCTCCACGTGCACTTCACCAAGTTCTGTCTTAGTGAAGAAACAGGCAACTTTTTGAGACAAATGTTTTTCTTAAAATATTTCTATTCACTTCAAGTAATGTTTGTACTGTTTTTTTGTTTGTTTCTTTTTTTTTTTTGATACTGAGGGTTGAACACATGAGCGCTTAAGCACTGAGCCACATCCCTAGCCCTTTGGATTTTTTTTAAAATTTGAGACAGGGTCTTGCTAAGTCACTGAGGATCTCACTACATTGCTGAGGCTGGTGTTGAACTTATAATCCTCCTGCCTCAGCCTCCCAAAGCACTGGGATTACAGGTGAGCACCACTACACCTGGCTAACATTTGTGCATTCTTACTGGTTCTAACAAAGCCTCCCTTCAAATCTCACGTACAAATCCAGAATCTCATTTAATTCAAATGTGAAAGATCATAAACAGAAATATGTGTTTTTAACCAAGTAGTTTTCAATCATTTGAAAGGACAGGATATAAAGAATTGAGACACAGCAGAAAAAGAATCTGAATTTAACTAAAACATAATGTTTTCCTGGGGAAAAAACGTAAAGTGCCATCAAAACACAGTAGTAGTGCTAACTCCAACACTTAACATCAGCACTGCCAGACACCGTACTAACCACATCGAGGGCATTGATCACCACCGTGCAGGACACCAACATTCACAACTGCTCTAGAGTGCCAACGGCTAAACATCCAAATCTTTTCTTTGAAGCAGATTTACCATCTGCAGAACAAGGAGTTGGTACACTTCCCCTGCGGTCTGTCTTAGTGTAGAAGTAAGGGTCCCCAGCTTTCCCTGCTCCTCCTGCCGTGTCTGTGACTCAGTCCAAGGTCTCCTGGGACCTTCTTCCTGAGAATCTCCATGGCTGTAGGCAAGCTCTGCTCCAGCGTCAGTCACCAGTGGCTCCCACAGACACAGCTGCCACAAACTGCAAGGACCAAGATGGGCTGCATGACTGTCCTGCACAGAAGAGCTCCTGGCCAGGATGTCTTCTGAATGCCCCTCTGGAGCCGGAGCCCGTTTCCCCACGCCGGTCCCCACGCCGGCACGCTGTCATTGCGGACTGAAGGCTGACGCGGCCCACACTGTTCACAGGAAGCACGCTGGAGGTACCTGGGCTTTACTACTGAGGATTTGGGGACTCTCAAGGGAGGCAGTCAGCCCTGAGGGAGTGCAGGTTTGTAGGGGTGCCGAGTCCTGACCCAGTCTCCTGTGATAGCGGGCCTGGGTCTCCTCCTGCTCATCAGTCCCGCCCTGGCAGGGGTCCTGGAAGCTCCTGCGCTGTACTCCTGTGCAGCACAGTGCAGGAGCCTGCCCTCCGCAGGAGTTTTCTTCATTTTCTCAAGTAGTGATTTCCAAGGGCCTTCTTGGGATGCAGGTGGCCCCTGCTCTGACGAGGCTTTGGGTTGGCTGCTGCTGCTCTGCTGGCACCTTGAAGCACTCAGCGGCTCTTCTCTCTGCCCAGCAACGTCTCTCAAGCACGGGCTGTGCAGCAGGCTGTGCCAGGGCCAGGAGCACGCTGGCCAGCACAGACATGGCCCCACACACTGCCTTCCTGCTGCCCAGACGTCACTCAAGTGTCCACTGCCACAGAAGCGAAGCACCTCCCTGAACCAGCATCCAGCCCAGGCAGGGCCCCAGTGAGAATGGCAGGCTGTGGGAGGGAGCTATGGGCAGAGCCCCCTGCATCCATCACACCTGGGCACCCAGTGGTGGGAGGGAGCT